ATGGTGATAGATCTGAAAAGGCAACACAGGTACATGTTTTACAAGCTTCTTAAGTTAGCAACAGAAAAAATATCTATACCATCAGGGACATTCGTTTTACTCAAAATAATACGTTTTAGTGTAAGGCTGGAGTAATTTTAATATTCTTCTACGTAGCAATTGTGGGTAACAAGACATTTCGGCACCCAGACAAATCGGCACCCAAGTCCGAAGACATTTCGGCATCCATTTTGGACAGTTCGGGATCCGGACATTTCGGGACCAAGACAATTCGGCACCTCATTTTTTTAAATATATATATTAGGAAAAAGAAAAGAATTGTTACCGTAATGTTATAATCCGTTGATAAAATATGCAATAACAAAATTTGAAATCATCATTTAATTAAATCCTAAATGATTGTGTATGAATAGTAAAACATCATTTAATTAAATCATAATTGATTGTTAGATATGACGGTGTTTGAATAAACATCATTTAATTAAAATAAAATCATAATTAATTGTAGTTATGCATTAATCAGTATTTTATGTATAAATCTGATAATTTCTCAATAGAGACAAATGAGTAATCAAAAGTGTATAGCTTGTGTTTCAGCTTGTGTTCTCGTTTGATTCTTACATCTGTTAAGACAACCCAATACCTGAAAACTATATTTTATTGTTTTAATATTAAAACCCATAAACATAAAAGCGCATGCAAGCCATAATGAGTAAAAACCCTGAAACATATGTAACACTCCCAAACGTGTCCATCCCCCCCAAACGTGTCCGATTCCCCCAAACGTGTCTATTCTCCCCAAACGTGTCCGTAATATTCAATATGGCCCAAACGTGTCCGATAATTGTTATTCGCCAAAACGTGTCCACTGTTAAACGCCATAATGTCTCACGTCTTTTAGCGCCAATACATGTATGTCCTAAATAAAATCAATAACGTTTACGGCAATTCTATGATAGGGAAACAGTTGATGAGGTAGTAATTTATAAGCATTAGTTTGTTCAATGCCGGTTATTAATGATTATCATAATTGCAAATTTAATATGTAACATATGAATTAACTTTTGACTGAATTTGCTTATTGTCCAGTTGCAAGTATTTCATGCTCATTAAGAGCGAACATACATATAATTCTAGTGCAGTATAATTAATCGTTTACTAAGTAAATTATGAGTTGCTAATAAACTCCGATGATGCCTTTTATATTAATCCGAAGGCAGGCTTTCAGCAGAATTGACTTCCCTTTTTTACAACAGTTCTGATATTTTAAAAGCTCTTCAAATCAAAAACTGGTTTTCCGGGTTTCTAACAAATTTTAGGTTTCGAGCATCACTAAAGACACACGAACAAGAGAAATAACATCCAGTGCCAAATATTTCATGCATTATTTGAACGAAATCATGTTAACAATAAATACTGTATATAGGTTCTATTATCATACCGGGAATTTAGGATTGGGCCTAAATTGTTGCGGTTATTCGGGATTAACACTAGTTGGGATTGTAATCTAAAAAAATAAGAGCGTGTGAAGACCGATTTTTTTAATGACTTCAGTTAGAAACTACTGCAATCTCCGTTATGTAATAGAGGCCGTTTTAAATAAAAGTTGCGGAAATTTAAAAAAAATGTTGCCTTCCATAATACAACTGATGGCACCATGAAAGAGTGAATTGCTACATTCTCCCTACACGAGGTATCTGATTTAATATCTACAATTAACTGAGCATGGCTGCTAATACATTTACATTGTTGAAGGCTTGCCTATAATTGCTTACATCCACTTTATTTTAACTTTGGTGGATAGTTGCCTCATTGGCAATCATACCTCATCTCCTTATTTTTATAAGGATAAAAATGATAAGCATGTTAAGATTTATCTGCCACGTAATTTTTCAAACCAATTGGACAACCCTATTTGCAGTTATTGCATCTGGAATTATAAATTTTACGAAATATCTCTGTTTTTTTTTTTTTTTTTTTTTTTTTTTTATTATTATCTTAAATGCTGATAAAGAGAAATTTTGAACAGCAAGTTGAGATCTACAACTAAGTTAACTAAGTTATCTACAACTAAGTTAACTAAGTTAACTGACCGAAATTGTAAATTTATCCCTTATAGGAGTTATTGGCTTGAAAGGCATTTTTTTTTAAATTAAATTTTCAAGTTATTTTTAAGAAAGTATAATAGATGAAGGGAAACTTTAAGTGACAAAAATTTTCAACAAAATTAGATCTACGAATAAGTTGACAAGACAGCTATCCAAATGACTAAGCTGCAATACAGTCTTCACAAATAAAAAAAACCAAAAAGAATAAGATACTTCTTCGAAGATACCATATACAATATTGACAATAATGTCATAAATAGTGCAGGAATTAAATTGGTAATTTGTAAAATCAGTCAAACATAATCGCTATATTAACACTAAACTTGTAAATTGAGTTCATACCCACATACATATATCAGTGCCAGGTAACTTTAATGTTTGGTTCACTATATTTTGATCAAGGATAAAATAATTGATTTTATCTTTATAAGGTGCCGATTTGTCTATGTTAGATGCCGATTTGTCTAGATGCCGATTTGTCTGGGTGCCGAAGTGTCTTTCTCGGGTGCCGATTTGTCCGGATGCCGATTTGTCTGGGTACCGAACTGTCTAGAATTCGCAATTGTGTTAGTTTTAGCTAGATATCTTCCTGGACTTTCAAAAACATATTTGTTTAGACATTTTAAAGCAGACGAGGCTTCAAATATCTACAGGGATAACAAATCACGTATTGGACCTGATTTCCTGAGAATGAGTGATATGCTTTGTCGCAGATCTATTGCCCCATTAATTAGTTAACTGAGACTACGAATTATATCATATTTTTGCCTCTTTCCCAAACAATATAAATATTTAACGTTCTTTCTTTTCGTTGTTAAACACAATATTGTGTGTTAACCTTTATGTTCTAATTTCTCTCCCGTGCACCTTCTTTTTTTAAATAGTTAAGCAGTTATCTGGCAGTATCTCTACTTTCATGTTTGCAAAACTTTAACCCGGAAGTTAGTTATCATTTGACCGGAAGTCTAAAAATGATGCAGTGCAGTCACATGATTATATGTCATATGAATTAACTTTTGACTGAATTTGCTTATTGTCCAGTTGCAAGTATTTCATGCTCATTAAGAGCGAACATACATATAATTCTAGTGCAGTATAATTAATCGTTTACTAAGTAAATTATGAGTTGCTAATAAACTCCGATGATGCCTTTTATATTAATCAGAAGGCAGGCTTTCAGCAGAATTGACTTCCCTTTTTTTCAACAGTTCTGATATTTTAAAAGCTCTTCAAATCAAAAACTGGTTTTCCGGGTTTCTAACAAATTTTAGGTTTCGAGCATCACTAAAGACACACGAACAAGAGAAATAACATCCAGTGCCAAATATTTCATGCATTATTTGAACGAAATCATGTTAACAATAAATACTGTATATAGATTCTATTATCATACCGGGAATTTAGGATTGGGCCTAAATTGTTGCGGTTATTCGGGATTAACACTAGTTGGGATTGTAATCTAAAAAAATAAGAGCGTGTGAAGACCGATTTTTTTAATGACTTCAGTTAGAAACTACTGCAATCTCCGTTATGTAATAGAGGCCGTTTTAAATAAAAGTTGCGGAAATTTAAAAAAAATGTTGCCTTCCATAATACAACTGATGGCACCATGAAAGAGTGAATTGCTACATTCTCCCTACACGAGGTATCTGATTTAATATCTACAATTAACTGAGCATGGCTGCTAATACATTTACATTGTTGAAGGCTTGCCTATAATTGCTTACATCCACTTTATTTTAACTTTGGTGGATAGTTGCCTCATTGGCAATCATACCTCATCTCCTTATTTTTATAAGGATAAAAATGATAAGCATGTTAAGATTTATCTGCCACGTAATTTTTCAAACCAATTGGACAACCCTATTTGCAGTTATTGCATCTGGAATTATAAATTTTACGAAATATCTCTGTTTTTTTTTTTTTTTTTTTTTTATTATTATCTTAAATGCTGATAAAGAGAAATTTTGAACAGCAAGTTGAGATCTACAACTAAGTTAACTAAGTTATCTACAACTAAGTTAACTAAGTTAACTGACCGAAATTGTAAATTTATCCCTTATAGGAGTTATTGGCTTGAAAGGCATTTTTTTTTAAATTAAATTTTCAAGTTATTTTTAAGAAAGTATAATAGATGAAGGGAAACTTTAAGTGACAAAAATTTTCAACAAAATTAGATCTACGAATAAGTTGACAAGACAGCTATCCAAATGACTAAGCTGCAATACAGTCTTCACAAATAAAAAAAACCAAAAAGAATAAGATACTTCTTCGAAGATACCATATACAATATTGACAATAATGTCATAAATAGTGCAGGAATTAAATTGGTAATTTGTAAAAACAGTCAAACATAATCGCTATATTAACACTAAACTTGTAAATTGAGTTCATACCCACATACATATATCAGTGCCAGGTAACTTTAATGTTTGGTTCACTATATTTTGATCAAGGATAAAATAATTGATTTTATCTTTATAAGGTGCCGATTTGTCTATGTTAGATGCCGATTTGTCTAGATGCCGATTTGTCTGGGTGCCGAAGTGTCTTTCTCGGGTGCCGATTTGTCCGGATGCCGATTTGTCTGGGTACCGAACTGTCTAGAATTCGCAATTGTGTTAGTTTTAGCTAGATATCTTCCTGGACTTTCAAAAACATATTTGTTTAGACATTTTAAAGCAGACGAGGCTTCAAATATCTACAGGGATAACAAATCACGTATTGGACCTGATTTCCTGAGAATGAGTGATATGCTTTGTCGCAGATCTATTGCCCCATTAATTAGTTAACTGAGACTACGAATTATATCATATTTTTGCCTCTTTCCCAAACAATATAAATATTTAACGTTCTTTCTTTTCGTTGTTAAACACAATATTGTGTGTTAACCTTTATGTTCTAATTTCTCTCCCGTGCACCTTCTTTTTTTAAATAGTTAAGCAGTTATCTGGCAGTATCTCTACTTTCATGTTTGCAAAACTTTAACCCGGAAGTTAGTTATCATTTGACCGGAAGTCTAAAAATGATGCAGTGCAGTCACATGATTCCGTAATAATAGTAACCGTTAGAGACGGCGAAAGTATTTTTCGCGGGAAGATTTCGCCGTTTTTTTAGTGGGGAAAGAAAACATTAGAAAAAATGACAGTGGAAAAGGCAAAGAACCCCATTTTGATAGCAGCTCGAGAAAGAGGTGAGTAGTTAATTGATGAAATGATTTAAGTTATACATTTCTCCCGATGTGTGTGTGTGTGTTTTTTTTTTTGGGGGGGGGGGGGGGGGGGAGTATTTTTTACTTAATATTTTAACAGAATTTTATGTTTTAGAACTGTGTGTTTTCAGTAACATATGACTTTTCAAGCTTTATAATATTAATAAGGCAACATATTTCATATTCGTATTTCATTTCACAATATGTCAGTCACCAGAATATATATTAAGATAAATATTTTTTACAATATCATTTTTACTGGCACGGTGGTAGCCGATTACATAAAGGCGGAGGAGACAACTGTCATGGAATAAAAGTTCCTCAATAATATTAGTTAGTTCAAAACGGAACAAATATTCTGGAATAAGCTTTCCGCCGGAAGAAATATTACCGTGACTATTTGTTCCTGATGGATGATAAAGGGTAAATAGGCCATATTTGTTCAGAATAAAAGGAACGGATGTCGTAGCATTGTTTATAACTAACTTTCCAGAGGAACAAATATACGTTGACACAACTACCTCCTCCAGTTTTATAAAAAAAAAGAAATAATAGTTTTACCTTTTTTTTGTCATGTCGGGGCCTATAATTGCTTATTATACGGTATGGGTGTTGCTACTTGTTAAATGCCGTATGGTGACCTATAGTTGCTTCTCTACGCCATTTGGTCTCTGGTTGATAATAACTGCTGTCTCAATGGAATTATACTACTTCTATTTTTTTTATAAGAATATCTATAAACCCTTCTGTAGCTTAATTGATAAAGCTTTTTGTTACTGTGGCAGGGGTCGATTCTCAGTGGTCAAGTGGTGAATTCGGAAAGAAAATCGTGTGCTTCAGTTATACAGATTTATAAACGCAAAATAATCTATTCAAGTTATAAGAAATATTGGGCGATAAGCACATAATATTATAAATTATCACGTTTTTTGCATTTTTGTTGTTAATTTTGATTGATGTGCTAAAATTCTGCAACCGAATTTCGAAAATGGGTCAAAATTAACTTTTCTTGTTCAAACTGTAGTACATATATATCGTATGCATAATTCTTTTTGTATATGTTACGATTAATTAACACACGTTGAAGCCTTTATCTTAAAAAGGTAAAACGGATTTTTTTGAATGAATAAAAAGGTAGCTAGAGTTCATGAGATAGCAAGTTGGGAATAAAAACACATAAGTCGATGTAAGATAGAAAATGCTATAGCCAAAAAGAAGAAAGGGCAAAATCGTATGCGACTATAACGCAAATTTAAGTCCATTGAAATAGGAGTGAGTCTCCTGCAATCTTTGACTGTGATATAGCAGAAAAACAATTTTTATGAATCATGTTATATTGCTGTGTCTTCCAAGTGCTCAACGAAACCTCTTTCTAACTTGTTGACATCAACTTTATCAGCAATCAAAGCCGGGCTTAAAAGTTATTGTGAAATTACCCATTCTTGGGTTGGCGTGAATCAGACGTGGATACTAAAAAAAAATCAAGGATCTATTAGAGTGCATACAATATAAGTCTCTTTCATCTTGCAATAGTATCAAAACATTTTACTTTTCTACCCTTTACACATGTATTCCCTATTCCAAACTAAAAGAAAAATTGAAAGAATTGGTCCTGTTTTGTTTCATAAAACAGAATGGTCAACGCAGTTACAAGTATTTTGTCTTGGGGAGGGATAAATCGTACTTTGTAAAAAAAATCACTGATTCACGTTCTCCGATTCAAACAAAAAATTCTCTGAAACTGACGTTATCAAGGTGCTTGATTTCATGATTGACAACATATTTGTCACGTTTGGAGCTCGTATTTTTCAACAAACAATCGGCATTCCCATGTGAACCAATTGTGCTCCTCTTCTTGTCGACTTGTTCCTTTGTTCATATGAGGCTGACTTCATACAGGAGCTTTTTAAGAATAATAATAGCTAGGATTATCCTTTAACTTCACTTTCCGCTATATAGATGATGTCCTTTCACTAAATAATTCAGAGATTGGTGGATATGTTGGACGCATCTATCCGATCGACCTTGAAATAAAGGATACTACAGATACAGTTAAGTCTGCCTCGTATCTTGACATAATCTAGAAATTGACAATGAGGGTAGCTTGAGAACAAAACTTTACGACAAAAGAGATATGATTTCAACTTCCCGTTTGTTTAACTTTCCATTTCTATGTAGCAACATTCCAGCAGCGCCTGCATATGGAGTATATCTCCCAGTTGATAATCCAGAGCTTGCACTTCCTATCAAGATTTACTTGATAGAGGGTTGCTGCTCACAAGGAAGCTATTAAACCAAGAGTTCCAAGTGGTGAAGTTGAAATCATCCCTTCGAAAATTTTAAGGACGCCATCACGAGTTGATTGACCGTTATGAAATATCTCTTTCACAGATGACGACGGATATGTTCCAATCATCGTAAACAAAGTCCCATCCTCTTCTCCTCGAATGTGACATACCGGATAAGACTTATAACCGGTTTTATACTTACATGAGCAATACGCCGGGTGCCACATGTGGAGCAGAATCTGCTTACCATTACGAAGCACCTGAGATCGTTCCCGGTTTTTTGTAGGGTTTGTGTTGCTCAGTTTTTAGTTTTCTATGTTGTGTTTTGCATACGTTTGTTTGTCTTTTGGTCGTTTTCCGTTTTTTGCCATGGCGTTGTCAGTTTGTTTTCGATTTATGAGTTTCAATGTCCCTTTGGTATCTTTCGCCTCTCTTTAATGAAAATTTTGAGATAGGAATACGGTAGTTCATTTTTAACACTTTTATCTAAATGAAGAAAATTATGTGATTATCTTATTTTGACGACTGTTTTTACAAATACAGAATATTTATTGACTGGTACTTAACAATATAATGGGAAATAACTCAGATATTTTAAATTCCTAAGGAATGTACAGTGGATTTATTATATTGTTGTGTACCAAGAAAACGAGTACGATGACCCCATTTTTGTTTTTGTGTTTTGAAAGCATATTGTAAGAGATATCTCCTTATATCTCAATTATAATCTATGATCAGTTTTCATTCTATTCAGACACAAGTGGGTTTTCCATGTATTATATGTACACAATCTGACAATTAACATTGCACATTCAGTAGCTTGAAAAAAAAACGTGACTCATACTTATTATATTTTTGAAAAAAGCATGACATACATTACATTTTAGCAAAAGATTTAAATTTAAACCTTATCTATCTTAATATACAAATAAGGAAACGTGGTCTGATTGCAATGAGACAAATATTCACCGCAGTCACTATTCTTGCCAAAATATTCATGACACATGTATAGTCCAGGTGGCCTACAGATGACATTCTAGACATTTCATTTTCAGCATTTTGATGAGACAAAAAAACTATTCCCCTTATACACATTCATATCCTAATCCTCTGATGGTATTGATCTATGAATCAAGATTGAATTTTTTTATTTTTTCTATTCTCAGGTCCAGGTCCAGGCAGATATGCGCTACCGTCATGTACAGGATTCGTGGATCATGATTGTACCAAACTACTCAAACCAGCTTATTCCTTTGGCAGACGGTTATATGGTGATGGTAAGAAATACTATGATAAACCTTTGAAGATAAACATTTCAATCAAAATGTCTCTGATGTTATTGCAATGTTGACGAAGTTTGATTTAATACACTCTAGATGATAATTCAAACATCAATTTTCTTCTGGCATCAAATATGTTTCAATTATTGTGTTAGGGACATCTACAAAAATGAAAAATAAATAAAATATAATATTAGATATAATGTTTTGAATATCTAAAATGACTAGATAATTATTGGAATTTTTATGACTCAAAGAGTTTTATATTTCAACAATATCTAGATGCATGGACTGCTCTTCTTTACACCGGTACATAAATGACCAAATTCAATACATGTACTCGTATCCTCCTATTCTTTTTGTAGTTCGCAAGAGAGATATCAATCCCGGTCCTGCTTACTATATTGATCCGAGGATTACAAAAACTGGTGCTGATGGTACACCTATATATTCCATGCTAGCCAGACAGAGGGATCCGAGTAAGTATACCTATATATTCCATGCTAGCCAGACAGGGGGATCCGAGTAAGTATACCGGTGTATTCCATGCTAGCCAGGCAGAGGGATCCAAGTAAGTACACATATATATATTCCATGCCAGCCATACAGAGGGATCCGAGTAAGTATGCCTATATATTCCATGCTAGCCAGACAGAGGAATCCAAGTAAGTATATACCTTTAAATCCTATGTTAGCAAGGCAAGGCACAGGCATTTGGGGGCGTGTATCCGCCTTTTTCCATTCCTTTTTTTTTTAATTTTTTTTTTAATTAATTATTCCATAATTTTCAACTTAGTTTCACTAACTTTAAAATATGTGCTTGCTCTTATTCATACGACATTACGATAACAGTTGGTTAGATATGCAGCCCTTCTATTCTTATTTTCACTAAATTCGCGGAAAGACATGGCTATAACAGATCAGCTCCCGTAAAATAGAAAGCATCCTTTTTTGTATAGAACATATTTGTTTCACTTTAAATACAGTTAGATATTATATTTTGCAGACACGTTCAAAACACCATCGCCTGGAAAATATTCACCCGAGAAAGTACATCCACAAGGCGAAAAACATGCTCCTAGATACTCAATGGGCGGTAGAACTCGTTATAGGAAACGTGATGCTAACCCTGCCCCTAGCAAGTACCAGCTGCCGCCTGTCCTCGGTAGCCACCAGTCATACAAAGTGGCATCTCCAGCTTATTCCATGGTCAGTCGTCAAACTCTTG